GCTAAATGGAAACCATTTGAAAAATCCTATTGCACTCGCCTGGGGCTGTGGTTCAAATCATAAATCTTCATGGAGAGCAAATTGAATGTATTTCTGCGAGTGGCCAGCGACGGTTTCGCTAGCACCACTGCCATAAATAACGAATTGAAATCATAAATCTGGCGTTGAAAAGTATGCAAAGCTTTTTTAATTTCCAATGCAATTACAATAAAACGGCAAAGGCTAGGATTCAGGATGTAGGATTCGGAATCAGAGAGGCCAAGACAGGAAACGCCGGGCTTTGGGTGGCGTTTAATCAAATGCATCTGGCGCTGACCAAGTGGCGGAATCCCGAATCCTGTTAGCACCTACCGACCCGTTCGGCATTTCGGTGCTCGCAGCGAAATCAAATTACGCTGCTTCTGCAGACCGGGTCACAGGTCACCTGCCATTCCGCCCCCTGGTGCCACTAATGACATTCGAATGACATTGCCGGTTGCAGCCGTCCAGTCAACCGAACTTGGCTAATGACTCCAGTTCCCCTCCACTGGCATTGCCTTCAATATGACCACATCTACATGTGGTTTTGAAATTAAAATGCACACTATACTGGGGTGCAGCACAAGTCACTAAGATTTTTAAATCCGTTTTAAAAGTCTAAAGTCTTTTAAGATGTCTAAAAGTATGCAATGTTTAATACATTTTTCTGATAAATATATTAAGTTTATTTGCTTAATTTTCATATTCATAAGTTAGTTTTATTTGGGGATAACTAAAAACGCCTTGGGTCATCAGCCACAACTGTGGATACAATCTGAGCGCAAAACGTCACCTCACTTATAAAGAATCAAATAGATTTTTTTAATAAGTCACCGTAATTAATTTTATTATTATTAACATTATTAGGCACTACCTAATTTTTTTGATGTATTTAGTTTAACATCTTTTTGATTTATCTTAATAACGACTATTAAATATTTATCCAAAATCAGGTCGAAGTAAGCCAAGCAGAATGAAAGGCGCGGTGACAGCATTCATTACAAAATCTTTTGCACGCCTGGCTTGGCCACAGATTTACACTTGGTATTTTCTGGATTTATGCCAAAGTAAAGGCGTTGGGGCGCTGCCTGCCACGCCCATAAGCGACGTGTTCCGCCCTAATATTCCAGCTAGGTGCAAAATGCAAAGTAATGGGCTTTGAATATGCCTGCCAAGGCGGCCAACTAGGCAGGCAGAAGGATCCTGCCGAAAGCTGAGATACTCTTTAATTGTTTTACAGATTTACTAAACACCTAACTATAAACCTGGGTAAACCCCACTTTAGTTACCTGTTAAAACTGATGAGTACCTATTCGCAAAGTTAGTGCCGATGTGTAATCCTACTAATTGGCTGTAAATAGAGAATATAAACGTCGTTCTCTGGCTGCCCTTCTGCCATCCAGTTTCCTGAGCTCCTGTTTTCTGGTCTGGCCTTTTGTCTGGCACTCAAGTGAAAAGCTTTTGTCGGCGCATGGAAATTTGACGGAAATTGTTTGGTCTGATGGATGCAGATGCAGCTGCACCTCGTCTCCCGATCCTGATGCTCTTCCAGGTCCTTCTGCTGGTTTGGGTGCTGTGTACCTTTGGCTAATGGCCTCATTCCTGGCCAGCCACTCCTCCTCTCCTTTTTCGACTGTGTCAATCCTTCAGCTAAGTAAGCAGACAGTTTTTAGCATTATGGTCAGTTGAAAGGCCATAAACTGGCCTGTTCAGCTGAGTGTTGTCTAACCGAATGAAAATGGCAATTTCAATAGAATTTAAACCTGATTCTTGCTGTCGAGGAGGAAGCGAGGATTACGCCAAGCGAAATAAATGCAAATCGCATTAGAATAAATTTTGGCTGGGTGCTTTCTTTCTGGCAGCGTGACTGCAACTGCAGAATAATGTCCTTAAAATGGCCAACCAGACGAGGATCCTCCTGCAGCAAACTTTGGCGACAGGTAGCCTAGATAGTGAAGGAGAATTATATACAAACACTTTGGGAAAAAATCCTTTATAAATAACAGTCGTGATATCTTAAAGATGGATCTTTTGTATCCTGTTATACACTTTTAGCAAAGAGTACCATAATAATTTCAAGTAACCCAATCAAATTTGTTTAAAACTATTTATATTTTAAATGTTTGCACTACTTAAATCCAGCCATTAATTTTATTTAAGAATTCAATTGAACTAACTAACTTCTTTCCTTTCTGTTTCATCGTTTTAAATTTGTAAAAAAAAGTGTTGGGAAAATTATATAAAGATCTTATCTTTATTGTGATTAATTTTTTTCCAGTGTAAAAACTCCGCGAATAGCATCATTAGGTTGAAGGAGCATGGACCTCGCCGTGATGCCCCAACACAATCAAAAGCAAGTTGAACTTTTTAATGCATAATTTATTGTCGACTGACTTGGCCACGGTTAACTGAGAAACAGCCAAAAGGGCGCAGGTTAAGGCCAGCCACACTTTTTGTTGATTTTACTTTGTATTTTGTATTTTTTATGCGGAGCGCGAAAAATCAGTTAGAACAATGGTTGGTTGGCTGGGATGCAGATCTGTGGCGCATCATAAATATTTATGAAACGTCTGGCCAGGCACGTACCACCGAAAGCACCTCATATAGTATAGGAAACACCGGCGAATGGCCGGGCAATTTATTGGGCTCCTTGGCAAAACTCGTCTTTAATGCCAGCACATGCGGCACATATAAATATTGAGCCGGAATATTTATTTTCAATTGATTGCTGGTTTATTTCAGGGATAAAAGAAATGAAATATAAGGCTAAATGCGGATAAAATCAGGTATTGGTGAATTTATGTTGTGTAATAAAATACAAGCTTACGTTTCTAGGCATATATGATTTGATTATAAAATATAATAAATATCTTCCAAGAAACTAAGCTGAATATGTCACATACGATTTGATTATGGGATATAATATTATTACTAGATTTTTTAAGTCCCAGCACAATTAGTTTAAAAACTTAAACGATCCAGAATTTTAATTAAAACCAAGTATAGATAGTTTTATTAACCAATTTATATCGCCTTCTGTCTGCAACTGTCCGACCATTTGGCTCTCCCTTCTGCAAAAACTTTTCAGATTTGTTTGCGTGTTTCGCTGGAACTGGGTGAAATTGCAAAACCAAATCGACCGATCCGAGTCACAACTATCAATTAAACTAATTAGCTTGATTTCCCAGCCGAGTTGCGCAACCGAGGGACACGCCCAAAACTTTCGCCTTGGCCCTCGACTTCCTTTTTTCGGGTTGCGGTTGCTCTGGAAAATTCAATCAGCGCGTGCAGAAAAACGCAATCAAATGATTAAGTCAACAAATGAAGGCAAATTGCTGGGGCCGCAGCTGGCTGGTGCCGGACTTTTGGGATGCACTGTGTGCGGAAAATCGAAGCTGAAGCCAAGGAAGCAAAAAGTCGCCGTGGCGGCCAATGAGCTTGTTTCCACCGAGGTCTTCCTCAAAACTTTGGTCAACTTTTCCGCCGGGAATTCCCCGCATTTTTTCTCGTATTTTTTGTGACAACAGCAGAGGGCATTTTAAACAGGTGAAAAAGCACAAAAAACTTTCAGTTTTCCTAATGAGTGCGGTACTTTTGGCTATTGATTAAATCGGGGCTGCTGTCAGCTTTTTCGACCACCGCCTTTTCCTGCCGGCCAACATATTTTTGCCATTTTTATGCCCTTGCGAAGGGCACATTCAAATTCAATTGACTGGGCGTGGCACGTGCTACATAGTGCATATATCTATATCTATGTCTACGGGCGAGTGTGTGGCCGCCTCCTTGGAGCATATTTATTCCCCTTTTTTGGTGCGATTGCCTGGCAGGAAATTTATTTATATTCAATTTGTGAATTTATGCCACTTTTTTGGCCGGGGAAGGTAGCGACAATGCCGGGGGAAATTCAGTTTGCTGCTGATGCATCAATGGGCCCAGGATGGAGGAGGATATGCAGCAGGCGAAATTGTGACGGGGACTCGATATTAGGGATTGGGTTTTGGGGCATTCGGCTTGGGGGAAAAATTGATGGGCTTATGGCAAGCTAAGGGAGTGGATATTTTCTAAAGAGGATTTTTAAGAGATCTTGAGGGGAAGATTGTTGAAAAATGAAATAAATATGATTTATTAGAATAATGCAAATAAATATTAAAGTAACGATGTGAAGCACATATAAGAACTTGATCAAAATGTTTAATTTAAAATAGACGTTTCAATAAGCTAATATATATTTTCAAAGAAAAACGTATGGAAAAGCCATGAGACTAATGTGTTCCGATGACTTCGGAGCATTATAAAAAAACAAGAGTACGATCTTTTTTCAAATTTCGAAACTGAAAAAGGACCAAATTATTTTAAAGTTAACTTATTGAAATGCAATAAGAATTCTGATCACAAACAATTTTTAAAATTATGCGTATAAAGGTTAAGGATAAGAACAGCTCTGAATTATATTTATATTTTTGTATAAGGTAGGAAAACATTTGGTGCTTTCCCTTACACTAATGATCAAATAGAAACGAGTATACATTATAATCACTGTACACCTCAATTACAGATAATGTTTTTGGAAAGGTACTCTTGTGGACTTAAGGACCCCATTTTCTCGAAGCGCTCAAGAGAACCTTTGTTAGCAACTTGCTCAGACTTGCCGTTCTAATGCATTTACTACTGCTGATGTCAATTCTGCTGCCTGTCGATAAGGTCGATTCCGTGGGTACATTTTCCGCAAAATCATAAAAACATTTGGTGGCTGTTGTCGTTCTGGCTGATTACCTAATCTGAAGGACTAGGTCTGCTGTACTGAGTACCATTACCTGGTAGTTCCCGAAGGTACAGTCATAACCCACAGAAAAACCAGCGGTACCTACGGGTCGAGGTCTGCCTACCTTTCTATCCATCGAAAGGTACTGCAGGTAGAGCTCGCCTGATCATGGTATATATAGTCTTATCTGGCTGAGGATCCTTCATTCCGTCGATGTCCTTCCACAGCGATAGTCAGCCCCGAATCGTCGTCCGTTGAGAGCGTGAGTTCTTTGTGTCTGTGATAGTTAGACCCAGTGCCAAGTGCTCAGGATGTTATTCCTAGCGCCGCGCAAACATCTGTTTGCCAGCAACCTTATCATCCTGCTGATGATCTACGTGATGCGAAAGTGCCTCCAGCTCTTCTGCATCATCGAGAACCGCACCGGCCAGGAGGAGGAGCAAGTCCACTTCCCGGAGAGGGAGATCCTCCAGAGGCGCCGCGGTGGCTTCAAGATCATCCCGGATGCCATGCACCAGAGCATGCATGGTTTCGGTTATGGAGAGGGTCACTACCAGATCTTCGTGGAGAAGAAGGAGCGCAACCTGCCCACCAAATCGCGCCTCAACGCGGCCACAGCCGAAGTCAAGCTGAATCCCAATTAGTTGGTCTCTCGGGACCCAAGAAACCATTGACGTCTTAGGATGTCAAAGACAATGTGCCAATTGAGCCAGCCAGAAAATCGTAGTCCCCGAACCCCCAAAAATATCCCATACATCCATGTCTTCTTCAATAGTCTTAAAATAATAATTAAAAGCATGCAGAAAAAAATGTATTTTTTATAATCAACAAAGCGCTTTATTGGCCATTAATAAAAAATATAAAAAAAAATAGGCGACGACACTTTCGATGAAGTATTTACCATTATCAAATAATAGGTTTTTCTTGTAGGCGGTTATATTTGATTATTCCCTTTTCTTTGCTGTGACCATTTTGGGTGATCTGCATCTTTTTTTGCCGTCTTAGATTTCCACTTCCTCGTTGATTTCTCTGAGGCACTTTAACCATTTTATATCCTGCGGAGGGGGCAGCTTCTTTGATCGCGTGGGTGTTGCAGCAACATTTAATGGTGCCAAATTTATCACAAAGTAGCAGGAGGTACATGGAGCAAAAGAAATCAGGGAAGGATTGGGTAGACAGGAGTGGGAAGATGGGCCCGAGTGCCAAGTCCGTGGCAACAACAATGTCTGGCATATGCTGTAGTAATTTGCAAATACTCTTGCCAAAAAACAACGAAAATCGGGTATACGGCATTTTAAAATTGCATTTATTTGAAATACAAATGCTACAAATTAATGAACGCCATAATTGGTTATAATTAAATTATGTTTAACGTACACACCTCATTCATCAAACAACGATTTAACAACAATGCATACAATAATTTTTCTATAATTGGTTATTAATAATAAGTAAGTACATTTCATTTCATTTCCCCTGAATTTAACAATGTCGGTGGCTTCAAGAATAATTGACTTTAAATTAAAATGTATATTAATGGTTATATACATAATCTGGACATGGGAAACAATAACTGCTTACCGATATCTCAAAAGTAAGATTGAATTATTCCTTTCATTCTAAGAAATCAGTTTAATTTAATATTTATTACATTGAATAGATTTTATATGCTTGGAAATTTAAGTAAGTAAGATTGAATTATTCCTTTCATTCTAAGAAATCAGTTTAATTTTATATTTATTACATTAAATAGATTTATATGCTTGCAAACTTAAGTTTACTGATTTTAGTTCTAGGGTCTTACCTCAATCGCCAAAACTTGTATGGGGTTTCTAATCCGATCCCTTTGTCAGGGCATTTCCAGGTCGTCGTTTACTGGGCCACCCACTTCCATTGTTCGGCATTGGCCAAGATAAGAAAGGCGGAGAGGAGATGGCTAAGAAGGACTCGGCTTGAGCGCAGCAATTGTTAGCAAATCTATCATCATCATCTGGTTAAGCACGTGTCTGTAATGCGTGTGTGTGTGTCTGCCTGTCTCGTTCTGCCCTCCCTATCCCCGTCTCTTTCTACAGTTTATCCCCGTCTTTTTCTACAGCTTATCCCCGTCTCTGTCTCTCGGCTAAGCTGGTTGAAGAAGCAGAGACAATGTGTGAGCGTGCAACATTCTCAGCATTGCATTATAAATGGAGGGAAATTTTTAGTTGTAAGCTGCATCATCAGCCCTCGAGCTGCATATAAATTATCCCGCCAAATAAAGCATCCTCCCAACCAGCCCGTCGTAGTTATCGTGATTGTTATTGCTGTAATTCTAATTCCATAACTATGCGGCTCTGGGCATTATCCATACGCCATGTGGTATCGCCCATACGCCCTGTGGAACGTGCTTTCAGACTCGTCGGCAGCTGTTGATGTGTAAAAATGAAATGTCAGTCGGATAAGCGCCCACAGGCATCCTGGCCATAATGAGGTGGCCGGGATCCAAGAGGATAACCCACACAAACACAGCTGGACTCGTTCCACTCCCTTAACCCCCTGCTTGCTCTAGTTTTTTTCAACTTCTGCCCGCATAAAACGTTAAGCTCTCATGTAAATCATGTCGCTATTGTTACCCTCGCAGTTCTGTTCGTGCTGGACTCATTATAATTAACAATTTATAAAGCGTTAATCCACACACACTTGCACCAAAACTCTGTTTGGCTCACCAACACAAACTTGGCTTATATACACTATAAGAAAATTACTAGGAAATCGTTTTTATTGATTTTCATAATCGTTATTGATAAAATTTTAATAGATTTTCTTAGTCATAAAATATTTCCTTAATTTGGTAATATTATATTATATATCTATACATTTTAAGCAAACAAAATATTACAAAAAATTTTAATTCCTTAGCCTGAGTAAGTTCTTTTTTTCCAGTGTACAATATCCATTGACGGTAATTTGCCAAGGCAGCCAAAAGAGCATGTTCAGCAACAGCTATAGCAAAATCCAGCCAAACAAACAAGTCAGGGGCGTGGGGTAAAAGGGGCTGAGTGTGAGTAAGCAGCTTCCATTGCCGGAATCCCTGCCCTCCGTCTCCATCTCCATCTCCATCCGGGATCCCCATCCTCATCCCTATCCCTTCCTGCCACCTAACTGCTCCACTGGCACGTCGCGCGCATTAAGAAGATGAGCTGCATTTTTCATGCATGTGAAGTTGAGATTGCAGCTGCTGCTACTTTCTCCTCCTTTCTCCGCATCGCGCCTTGCTCATTTCATTTTTGGCTGGCTTTTGGCTGCTCCTCGGCATCGGCATCGTCATCTCCCACTGGGGATTCATCCGCATTCACATCCTTGCCGAGCTCCTTCGCCATCTGCCCCATCATCTCCCGCTCATCAGCGTCATTTGTATTAATTGCCCAAGCATTTTGCTCTGCGCAATGATACCGAAAATGGGGGACTCTATTGTCGTTGTGCTTGCCGCATTTCCCTTCGTTTTCATTTGGCGCTTTCCTTAATGGTTCCACATGGTTTTTTATTTGTGTTTTCAGAAATGAGCTCTCTGGAGCTGATAAATTAAAAACGGAAGCTTGGCTTTATATGGGTTATTAAGAGATTGGAAAATATCAGATAGATTTTTTATTTGCAATACATTATTGGTATTGTTTATTATTTTGACAATAAGCCGAGGAGGGATTATATTTGAATTAAAAGGCTTTTTACATTATTTAGTATATATATATACCAAATAATTTTTTTTTTTTTTTTTTTTTTTTTTTTTTTTATCTTTATTTTTATTTACAATCTGTTTGTTTAAACAATAAGTAAATTGTATAATTTATATTAAATTAACAGAAATAGCAGTTTTCCAGTGAGCCCTGCTATTATATATAACATCTTTCCTGTTTGTTGAATTTATCTATGAGGGAGATCGAGAATATGATATCTTTTCAGTCTTCTTACTGTTAAACTGTTGTCTACTAGACTTAAGGCTAAATTATTTTCGTGGTTGTGAAGTCTGTCGATATATTTCTTACTAGTTTTATTTATTTCTTCTTTTATGGTTGGAATATTAAGATCTTTATGAATATTTGCATTGGATACGTAAAAAGGAGCATTGACAATTTGTCGCAAAGTTTTTGATTGGTAACGCTGAAGTATCTCAATATTTGAGTTGCTAGCAGTTCCCCAGAGCTGTATAGCGTAGGTCCAAACAGGCTTCAGTATGGATTTGTAGAGGCGAATTTTGTTTTCCAAAGTGGTTTCCGATTTTCGACTTATCAACCAGGACATTTTTAGTGTTTTAAGTCTGAGCTGCTGGCATTTTGCTTTAATGTGGTTTTTCCATGTTAATCTGCGGTCGAGATGCAAGCCGAGATACTTCACACAGTTACTTTGTGGAATTGGTGAGCCGTTAAGTGTAACATTTGGGCAGCTACCTTGTCTTAACGAAAAAGTTATTTGGACGGATTTGAGGGAGTTGATTCTAATTTTCCATCTAAGAAACCAGTCTTCAATTAGGCTTAGCTCACACTGCAGGAGTTCAGAAGCTTCAATTCTGGATCTGCTTGTGGCCAGAACGGCTGTATCATCAGCATATGTTGCAACAGTGCAGTTATTTGTAACTGGCATGTCGGCCGTATATAGGGTGTAGAGAATTGGTCCCAAAACGCTTCCTTGTGGGACGCCTGCGTTGATAAGGAAAAGTGTTGATGTGTCGTTTTTCTGTTGCACGTAAAAGCATCTTTTAGTCAGATACGACTTGATCAATAAGAAGTACGGAGCAGGTAGCCATTTCTTTATCTTGTACAATAAGCCATTGTGCCAGACTCGATCGAACGCTTGTTGAACATCAAGGAATGCAGCTGTGCAGTACTTTTTGTTTTCAAATGCAGATACTACATCATTAATGACCCTGTGACATTGCTCAGGGGTCCCATGACCTCTCCTGAATCCGAATTGGTATTCAGGAATGATGGAAAGTTCGTCCAAAATTGGCAACATTCTCTTCAATAGTATTTTTTCAAACACTTTCGAGAATATTGTCAACAGACTAATGGGACGGTATGATGTTAATTCAGTTTCTGTTTTGTTTGGCTTTAGGATCATAATGATTTCTGCGCATTTCCATTGACTTGGAAAGTGGTCTAGTCTGAGGATCGCGTTAAATACAAGAGTAAGAAGCCGAATGCATTTTGCTGGTAAACTTTTTAGGGTGATGCCGTCTATTTTATCAGGGCCTGGTGCTTTTTTATTGTTCAAGCATTTGATTTCTGCCACAACTTCTTCATATTTGATGCTTTTAATAGGTAAGCTCATTTGGCAGGATGACTCAAGAAATTGTTCTACTTCAGTCTCGGTTGTAGAATTATTTATTTCGTTTGGCTGAAATACAGAGTAAAGATGTTGTGCAAATGCTTCAGCTTGTTCAGTATTAGACCTACACCAAGTTCCATTGCTTTTACGAATATTTATGTTTCTTTTAGCTGGTCTCTTTAGGTATTTAGTCGCCCTCCACAGGTTGTATTCGTTGTTGCAGGAATTAGGGTCTAAATTTCTCAGATACGCAGCTAGAGATTCATTGCGTAAGTTTGACAGCAGTTGCCTTAGCTCTGAAGCAGCCTTGTTGTACAATCTTTTGTCAGCAGGGTAGCGAGTTTCTTGCCAGCGTTTTCGCAGATTCCTTTTATTTTGTATTTTTTGTCGAAGTTCGATTGAAAGGTACAATTGAT